TTTGGGATTTCCCGATCATCTCAGCTGCAGTTTGGCTTTTTCTCACCAGTGTTATCCAGTCCTCAGGTGAAGCTGCTCTGTGTTGAAGATGGCTACAGACCCCCAGTTTTGCAAGGAGTCAGTGGAGAGTTACAGCCCAAAGATGGAGAGAGGGCTGGGGTGCCCGCTTAGGAATTGCCAGGGGTGCTTTGAAGGTAGTATGGGTGGAAAGCATTGTCCAAGAGCCCCCTAAATGCCTGTGAAGGCATCCACTGACTTTTCAGATGGGCCACTTAAGTTTTCCTCTCCTTCTCCCAGATATTCTGTGCCATTGCAGCTGCAGTCTTTGGCTACAGGCAGTGACCCTGGGTGGTTTGCCTAAAGAGAAGGGAAATTCTTTGAGCTCTTCCCATCTGTCTGGGTGACTTTGGTTAGGGTTTCTTTCCCATGTCAGAGGAACAGGGTGTAAAGGAGAGTTGAACAGAACAGAGGCCAGAGGAGCAGAGCAAGAAGGTGGGTCATCACCTGACATCAGCACGAAGATGTGGCTTTTGGCTCCACGTTTACTCCATGTGTTAAGGATTTTGTTGTTTGGGTTTGGTTTTTCTTTGTTTTCAGATGCAGAGCCCTGGGCCCAGGAGGCTCTAGGCACCGGAGGGGAGGTGATCCGGGTGAGTCCCGGTGAGCAAGGTGAGCATTGACTCCAGGACAGGACTAGATGGTCTTTTCCAGATGTTGTGGTGAATCGGTGCACATGCTTTGTTTCTTGTGTTTTCCAGGGGTTCTGCCACCTTCTAACAGACAGTCCGATGGTTCAGGGCCCCTGCGGGTAAGAGGTGACTGTGGAGGAGAGGTAGGTAGGAGCTACCCCAGGAAAGCCATCCTTTCAGGCAGTATCTCAGTGTAAACATTTGCCTTTGGCTTTTTTACTTTGCACAGAATGTGTGCAGCCTCAGAGGGCCGGAGCCACTTGCCAGTTTAGGTTTGATGGTCTTCAGCTGTCCTCATCAATAATCTCCTAGTCCTACGAGGCTCATCAATTAAAGCTGAACCTTTTCCAGTTGCAGCTGCCCTCCTGCCTGCCTTTGGCAAAGGAGGAGCATTGAGGTTGAGTCTGGGAGGTATTGAGGAGGTGCTGGGGTCTCCCTTAATTTCAGGAACACCCCGTAACTTTTTTTCTCACTCCCCCAGGTAACGTACAGTCCACCGTGATGGGGACCCTGCCTGTAAGAGGTCACGGTCAAGGGGTGTCAGACAGAAACTGCCATGGGAGCAGCATACTCTTGGGCAGTATCTCAGTACTCACATTTGCCTCTGGGTTTTTTTGCAGGACGTGTACACAGCCTCACGGGGCCGAAGCCAACTCACAGTGGGGTGACGGACACGGTTCGGTGCCCTGGAGCTTTCCTTGTAGGTAATCTCCGAGTATTAAAAGGATCAACAACGAAGCACTGAGCTTTTTTGATTGCAGGTGCCATCCAGCTAACCTTTGGGAGCAGATGAGCATTGGAGGTGAGTCGTGGAGGCAGCAGGAGGAGCGGGGGTCCACTGCAGCTTGAGAAATGCCCTCTAATTGTGTCTCTCTCTCTCAGGTATCCCAGAAGATGACAGCACATTGTCCAAGTCTGGTCAGAGCCAGTGACACGAGGACCTGCCTCTGTGACGGTGAGTAGAGGGATCACGGGGGCTGGGGTCACGTGCCACACTACTCAGATCTTGTGTCTGGTTTTCTTTCTCGCAGTTGACTCCGAGTACTCTCCCGATGCCAGGAACCTCTGAGCCAGCCCAGGTGCCCCTGCTCTGCATCGAAGATGGATTCACATCCCCGGCTGTCGGCAAGATAAGTGCAGGGCAGAGACCCAGAGAGGGGCTGGGAGTGGGTGCAAGTATGTGTCTCACCTGAAGGGATTTTTGAAATTAGTGCAGTGCAATAGGTGTCCTGTAACAGGTTATTTGGACACACCAAAGGAAGGGCTTACTTTGTATCATTGGATTCACTTGTGCAGGGCAGAGCAGTTCCAATCTGTGTCAGGTCCTTTATCTCGTCCCTGTTTTGTGTCCTTCTTCTCTTAATTGTGTCACATGTTGTGTGTTGTCACAGGTGCGGGGTGTCTCACTTGGGGTCAGCCTGGAACTGCTCTGCCCTGCTCCGTGGATCAGTGGGTAGATAGAATATTGCTCAGAGTCTCCCATCAGCATGTCAGTTACCTCAGTCAGTGGAGCCGATGGCTGTACGGTCCTGCCGGATGGAGCGGGCGTACATAACTCGTGTGCCATCGTTATAGCCGAGTGTTGTGGAGCTGATGGTACTTGGA